TTCGAATTCAAAACTTTGAAGTTTTTTAATGGCTGTCAATGGTGGAGAATCAAACACCTTCAAATTTTATTGATTGACAACTTCAATTCGAACATCAATTGTGCAACATGAAAGGAAATTGCTAAGTTAAAACTCTATATTAAAACAATTGAAATTCATTGATAAAAAGAGGATAAAAAACAGAGAAAAACGAAGGAAGAAAAATTGGGAAAGAACAAAAAAGGTGAGAGAGAGAGAGAGAGAGAGAGAGAGAGAGAGAGAGAGAGCACAAATGGGAAAATAACTAATTCCCTATCCAATTCCTAATATAAAGGGATACACATTAATACCAGTTTGTATATAATTAGTAAATTATATATGCCCATGTAATTAAGTTAAAACTTGATTAGGGAGGAAAAATTAGTTTCATATCTAGTATAGGTAGGTAAAAATCCCATATAGGATAAGGGAAAAAAAAAATCATAAATAGCCAAATTTATATATGGTAATTAAAAAAAATCACAGTTTCAAAAGTAATCGAAATTTAAGCACTTTTTATGTAAAAATAAATTTTGAACAAAAATACCCTTAAAAATTCAAAAAAAATTCCAGCATTATATGTTGGAGTTCGAATTTTATACATATGAGGTTCCAGCATAATGTGTTAGAATTTCATAATGTGATGGAGTTCCAACATAATATGCTGAAAATTTATACGCAGGAGCTCCAATGTCCAGGATATTATGCTAGAATTTTTCATGTGTTGGAGTTCTGGCATACTATGCTGAAAGTTTATATGTAGGATCTCCATAATCCAGCATATTATGTTAGAGTTTTTCGTGTTTCAGTAAAATGATGACTATTTTTCAATGACTTTACAAACGCTGACTATTTTTCAGTTACCAATCCGAAAACTGGCTAGCCCATACTATTTTCACTAGAAATGGCATGGGTTGCCACGGTTCGGCCTAGCAAGTTAATGTCTGTGATATTTTCCATCTTTTCAAGTGTTAAAAGAAAGAAAGAAAGGGAAAACTATACAATATCTTCGCTCTCAAAAATAATAGTTGGCAAAATATATAGCTTTTTATATATTAATGTAAAATATATATTTTAAGTATTCTTTTTATATTTGACTAGCAAATATAGTTAGTTTTGACCGACCGGTCAAATGTTTAACTCGTGAAATGTTCCATTCTCACGACAACATAATATAAAAGAATTGTGTGATCTAGAATCTTATTTCTTCTACAAAAAGCTTATCTTACTCAATGATGTACTTTATAGGGAGCTTCAATATCTTAATAAACTAAGTATTCAAAAATTATTGACTTTTGATCATTTGTATGAGTTTATCGTCCTTAAAAGTTAAAACTAGAAATTTTATCGGCCTAAAGTTTGATTAGTGATAGAGAAATACTTCAAAATGAATTGGAAAGCAGATCCAAACGAAACAGTCACATGAAAAGAAAATGATAAAAGAAAACACACAATCACCCCAAAAGAATTAACAACCAAATAAAAAAATCTTTTTATGGTAGGCCCTGTCTATTATAAAATGTAGTGAAGCAATACTTCCTAATGATCATGCATATTCGTTCAAAATTGAAAACCTGAAAGCAAACTTCACAATATTTTAGCGTGTTAATTAAGTACATATGTAGACTCTATTGCAGTAGAACATTTTCCACCTTATACATTTGCTAAATGGTACTAACATTTCAAGATATAATTAAGGTATGCTACTATTAATTTATAATATCTCAACTGATTTTGAAAACCTAGCTAGTTGTGTCAATGTGCAAACACAATTTTTTGCTTTGATCTAACTAATTTGTTTTACTATTGTTTATTTGAATAAGAATTTTCTAAGAGATATTAATCAATTTGTATTTGGTTCCATCAATCAATCGTGTATTCGCTGATCTCGAATCAATGGGAACTTGAAAATGTTTCAGAGTACATTAACAAAACTTGGTAAAGTATAGGATCTAATTTTTCCAAAGATCGGTGTAAAATCAGGTCCTAAATTATTTATACAATAATAATCTTTAATAATAACCGTGGATTGCTTAAACAAAAAGATAATTTAATATAACCGTTAGATTGTATTCCTAAAATAAACATCATTTGCCGTATACATTATATTTAACTTTGTTGAGGTTCTAAATTTGTAATGATATTATTCGTTTTGCGCTCTAATAACACATAATGGGAGTTTATTGCACCGGACCGGACCGGACCGGACCGGACCGCCCTTTTCTTTTTCTAGCTCTGACAACACACCACCAAGATTGACATACTTAGCAAACTCATAGACTTCTCCTTGTGTGTCTTCAACATGCTACAGTTCCGGAGGCGGATTTAGGATTTAAATTTTATGAGTTCAATCTATAAAGTTTTTAGCATTGAATTTATTGTATTTTTAAATATATGTTACAATATTAATAAATTTTTACACATAAATTTATGTTCCGCGCAAAAAATATTGGGTTCAGTTGAATCCAGTACCGATACTCCGCATATGCCTCGGCACAGCTCGCCCATGACATTACTATTGCTATCGGCATATTTGTCTAAAATAAACTGAAAGCTCTTACATAATTTGTAGGGGATAAACGGTTTAATAATATTCTTAACACTACATAATATTGTGTGCTTTAAGTAAATTCTGCATAATTTTTTGAATTAATATTATACTATCATTTAAAAGTACACATACAATATGTATTTAAAGGATACAGCTTTTTTCTTCTTTCGTATGGAAGTATATAGTACACTACACTAAAATAAAACTGTGAAATGGAAAACGGAATTGTCTTTTTTCCAAAATTTAGCAAGACAGAAGGCCATGGGCATGTCATGTCAATTTTTATTGGGCCTGTGAATGATCATCTCAATTCTCAACCCTCTCTAATCTCTTATCCTTCTCATCACACACGTGGCCCAACAACTCTTAGTCATTCCAAAACTTACAGATGCACACGTATACACTTTAGGTGGGCCCCTTCACCACATTGTGGGTCCTAATAATTGAGGACCTAGCTTTTCTTGTACTGTGTTATATATTTTGGGCCTTCACAGCCTGGGTCCTTTTGTCCCATGTATTCTGGGGCCATTATGAGTCCCATGTGCATAGGATTAAAATAGCACGGGCTAGTCAGTTTTCGAACTGGTCATTCAAATATAGCCGACGTTTGCCAAGTCATTAAAAAATAGTCACTATTTTGCTGCAACAGAGACCGGTCCAGCATAATATATTGGAGTTCGATGCACATGTGTATGAACTTCCAGCATATTATGCTGGACCGGTATACTTTGTTGGCTCCAGTATAATATACTGAAGTTCAGTATAATATACTGAAGTTCAGTATATTATACTGGAATTTCAGTATATTATGCTGGAGTATTTTTCGGATTTTGACCAGTGTTATAGTTCAGATTTATCTTTACATGAAAAATGATTAAATTTCGATAACTTTTGAAATTGTGGCTATTTTTGAATGACCACTTGTAAATCTGATTATTTTTGAATTTCTCCATTGTATATGTTATTTTTCACAGTTTATACAAAAATGATGATGAAAATTGTAAAGCAGAATCCAAAAGGGTGCCAAATGGGGACGCAGCTCTTCGATTATTTTTCCTTACACTATTAATTATGTGAAGAATAAAGAATCCAAAAAGAGCAACAAAAAGGGAAACGAAAAAGATTCTTGGTTCATGCAATTTGTTTAAGTTTCCTTTCGAGTTAAATTAAAGCCTTGTGCTTGGACTTATTTTCCATATGGATCCCTGCCGTAACATAAAGTTAATATATTATATTATATTATAAGTGAGAAAATAAAAGTTAAACGTTAAAAGACTAAAATAACCATAAAAGATTGTATGACTATCTTGCCCTTCAGGCAAGCATTATTTCAAGAACATTTGGGTGCAAAGATATATTTAAAACATTTTATAAAGAATACCCAAAAAAAAAAAAAAAGGGTTAATGAGCATAACAAAAAAGAAACTAAAACTCAGAGAAACAGAAATGCGCGAGTCATTCACACATGTACATAAATATGAAGCATGTTCAAATGACTATTAGTCTTTTGGCCAAGCTTTTTTTTTGGGTCAAAATTACTTTCTTTTTTTTTTTTTGTCAAAAGCGTTTTTTTTTCTCAAAGTTAAGGTGTTTGGCCAAGCTTTTTTAAGGAAAAAAGTACTTTTGAGTAGAAGCAAAAACAGTTTTTGAGAAACAGAAAAAGTAGTTTCTCCCCAAAAATACTTTTTAAAAAAATACTTTTAAGAAAAATACACTTAGAAGCACTTTTTAAAAACTTGGTCAAACACTAATTGTTGCTCAAAAATACTTTCCAAATTAATTAGTCAAACACAAACTATTTCTCATCAAAAATATTTTTTTAAAAATCACTTCTCAAAATAATTAGATTTTAAAAACTTGGCCAAACATGCTATATGTTTCAACAATGCATTAGTAAGGCCTTCGGCTTTCTTAAGAAAAATGTGCCAAAGCTAAGACTAAAACCGTTGAAATCACTTTTTGTTTGCTTTATCAAATAGATATGTAATGAACGGACTTTAAAATTCATTGTTACATCACGTAGTCTTCATGCATGCCTTTTCACATCTCATTATCAGCCTCCTTTATAGTATAGGTGTACAAATGAAACGACAAATCGCACCAATTCGATAATTCAAGTCAAACCGGAAAAAAAAAACTCGACTATGGTTTGATTTGATTAATTTGGTATTGGAAAAAAAAATCCGACGATATTTGGTTTGGTTTGGTATTAACTAAAAAAAGTCAAACCGAAATCAAACCAACCCGACATTACATATATATATATATATATATATATATTAGAGTTATTTTATAGATTAAAAAATTAGTATAATATAATTTCTAAATATTTATTTAAATTTGTCAAGATCTTTGTTTATTAACAATTTAATAATAGGTTGGAGTTAAATTGTTGCCACAAACAACAAAATAAGCCCAAGCCCAAATCAAATTACACCCTAAATCCCCAATGTCATAAATTGTACTACTAAATCCCTAATGTCATTAGTTGTGCCTCTTGTGCGTTCATTTCATGAAATCAATCAACCTTCAAATTCAAGGTTTGTTCAAGTCGTCATCGACAACCTCTGTTTAGGTTAAGTTCAAGCTTTGTTCAAGTCGTCATTGTCCGCCTCCATTTAAAATAAGTTCATCATCTTGATTTCAGGTATTATGGGTGACCTTTTAATCTGTTTTTCAACCTTAGAAAGAAAGAAAGTGGGAAAGAAAGAAAATCAAAACTTTTGTATTGCATTGCAAATAAATTAGTTTGTGTTCCTCTATTTTTATTTTATTTTTGTTTATTTCAGATTTTTGCTTTGTAACTTTACCTTTGACAAAATTATTCACTTTCCACTCCTTCTTCTACTGTAGGCTCATAAACTTTTATTGGGTCAATTTTGTACAAATCTCAAATTAATTAAATTTTAATCTTTAATACCGTTAGCTAAAACGAAGTTGTGGTTTAACTTTTTAGTTCAAATTATGTGCAGAACTCTCTTTTCGGATAGATTCTGGAAAGGATATGGAGGTGATTGTCAACAATTCTTTGACTATGCTAGTAGTGCCTCAACAACAAGGTAAAGACACTTCTCATAGACGCACTCCTACTAAAAAACAAAAAAGAACAACTCCTCGAGAACCTTCTGGATCTGGGAAGACTGGTAGAGAGACGTCTGAAATTTGGGATCATTTCACCAAATTTATTGGTAAAGGAGGTAAATGTATGGCAAAATGCAATTATTGTCCTAAAACCTTTGTTGCCGCTAGCAAGAATGGGACTACTTCGTTGTGGAATCATTTAAATGTGACATGTCATAAATTCCCTTTTAAATTCGCCGATAAGATTCAATCATTATTAAAACCTATCAAAGAAGGATTGCTAGGATGTGGCTCGGGTTCTACTGAAAGGGTAGTGTATAATGTGGATGATATTAGAAAGGTCATTGCCGAATTTATAATTATTGACGAGCAACCATTTAGAGTAGTTGAAGGAGAAGGATTTAAGAGATTAATGGCTAAGGCCTTGCCTATTTTTAATTACCTTCTCGTGTAACTGTTGCTAGACATTATTTGGGGATTTATCAAGCAGAGAAAAAAAAGCTTAAAAATCTTATCAAGAACCAACGCGTATGCCTCACTAGTGCACATTGGATTGATGATCAATGGAATATACAAAAGAAAATTCTAAACTTTTTTCCAACACCATATCACAAAGGTGATACTATTACAAAGGGAATTGAAGCATGCTTATTTGATTGGGATATTGAGAATTTGTTTACAGTGACCTTGGATAATGCAAGTGCTAATGTTGCTGCCATTAAGCATTTGAAGGTGCGTATTGATGATTGGAAATGGGTAATACTTGGAAATGAATTTTTGCATGTTAAATGTAATGCACATATTTTGAACTTAATCATAAAAGATGGGTTAGATGAACAAATTGAGCCTATTTTCTGTGTAAGAAATGCGGTGAAATATGTTAGGTCTTCTCCTTCAAGACTTGCTTCCTTCAAGTCATTTGTTGAGAAAGGTAAGATAGATACTCATGGTATTGTGAGTCTTGATATTGAAACAAGATGGAACTCGACATATACAATGTTAGATGCAACTGTAAAATTTGAAAAAGCCTTTACAAAAATATATGCGAATGATCATAAGTACCAAAAGTATTGTCGAGAAATAAGTGCATTAAGAGAAAGTCCATCTGCAGATGATTGGAAGAATGTGAAAGCTTTTATCAAGTTTCTTCACATTTTCTACCAGACAACTTTGAAATTTTCAGGCAGTTTATATGCTACTTCCAACTCTTTCTTCCATGAATTTTTCTGTCATGACCCAATTTCACCTAAAGGCCGTGATGGCGCCCACACTACAGCTAGACAAGCCAACTAATAAGTTAAACATATATCAATTATTTTCAGAATAATTTTCTAAGTAATTTTATTATTTTTCTAGCAATATTAAAGAAAATAGAAAAGATACCGATTAATTTAAATTCAAGAAATAATACAAATCTAAATTCTACCAGTGTATGTGCCAAGACCTCGTGTCACAAGTGTATGAGCATCTAGTAGATTATACAAAAAATATAAATACTGTCTGGAATGAAATAGACAGAATAAAAGTTCAGGAAGAGGCACTAGTTGCAGAACGACTCAGAAAGCAGCTCACCACTAAGGCTCCGGATAACGCAGGTGCGCGCCGATAGGTCCAACGATAGCACCTGTCTCAGGTCCTGCACAAAAAGGTGCAGCAAGTGTAGCATGAGTACGTAAACAACGTGTACCAAGTAAGTATCAAGCCTAATCTCGAAGAGATAGAGACGAGATGGCCGACTTTGACACTCACTATGGGTCAATAATAATAATTGAAATAAAACTAGAATATCTAAATCAACATGATTCACAGAGTTGACAATAACTTATTTAACCAACATAAATAATTAAATTTCTTCAAATGCAACAATTTTCAAACTATTAATTAAATTCACAAACTGCAATAGAGGATGAACAATTTCTTTTAGCAATTAATTAATTTAAACNAGTTGTTTACTGTATTTCAGACAGTTGTGCTTTCATTCAAACTGTTATTTGTAGTACTCTAGTCGCTCGTATACTTGTGACACCAGTTCTGGGATTGTATCTAGATATCGCTATTGTTATGATTTTCTCGCTATATTTCAGATTATTTAGTTTCTTGGCTATTATTTAATTTGAATTGTTAAAAATGACAAAAACTATTCTAACGTTGGCTTGCCTAGCAAGTGAAATGTTAGGCGTCATCACGGTCCCGATGATGGGAATTGCGGGTCGTGACATCCCCAAATGTCTTCAAGATAATACAGAAATGGGAGAGAATAATAAATAGATCTTCAGCGTAATATCCAACAGTTAAGAAGTCATATAAAACTGTAATCTATATATATATATATATATATATATATATATATATATATATATATATATATAACAATTAATTTTAATTAAACAAAGAATACAATTTACACAAGTAATTCATGATTGAGTCCTAAACTACCCGGACTTTTAGTATAAATAGTAGCTACGCACGAACTCTCGTCACCTCGTGCGTACGTAGCCCCCACAATTAGCAATAATTATTAATTTAATTACATATGAGGTAATTTCATTAGACAAGAGATTTACCTCAATTTGCTCCAATTTAATCCACTAGAAGGCCTTTTCTACGAATATCCAACTCTGTCTCGCTCTAATCTAGCCAAAATAAATCGATAAAATCACTAAATATTATAGGAATCGATTCCATAAGAAAATACTATATTTTTCAATAAAAGTCCGAACACGCTCCTAAGTCCAAAATCACCATACGGAGCTATTGGAACCGTCAAATCCCAATTCCGGGGTCGTTTTCTCAAAATGTTGACCAAAGTCAAACTTAGCATTTTAAGGCCAACTTAAGGAACCAAGTGTTCCGATTTCAACCCGAACACTTCCAAATCCCGAACCAACCATCCCCGCAAGTCATAAATTAATAAAAGCACATACATGAAGTTTTGTTTAGGGGAACAAGGTTCTAAAAGTCAAAATGAACGGTTGGGTCATTACATTCTCCACCCCTTAAACAAACGTTCGTCCTCGAACGAGTTTAGAATTGTACCCGGAGTGCTGAATAAGTGTGGATATCTGCTCCGCATATTTTCCTCGGCCTCCCAAGTCGCTTCCTCGACTGGTTGGCCCCTCAACTGGACTTTTACTACAGAAATCCTCTTGGACCTCAACTGGCGAACCTGTTTATCAACAATGGCAACTGGTCCTTCTTAATAGCCCAAACTATTATCTAGTTGAATTGTGCTAAAATTTAACACATGTGATAGGTCGGCATAATACTTCCGGAGCATAGATACATGGAAAACCGAATGAACTTCTGATAGGCTGGGAGGCAAGGCAAGCTCGTAATCAACCTCCCCAACTTGTCTCAACACCTCAAATGGGCCTATAAACCTTGGGCTCAACTTCCCCTTTTCCCCAAATCTCATGATTCCTTTCATCGACGAAACCTTCAAGAGAAATTTTTCACCCATCATAAAGGATAAATCACGTGCTTTCTAATCTGCGTAGCTCTTCTGTCTGGACTGCGCTGTACAAAGTCGCTCCTAAATTAACTTTACCTTTTTCAAGGAATCTTCCACCAAATCAGTACCATATAATTTAGCCTCACCGGGCTCAAACCATCCGATGGGCGAACGACATCGCCGACCATATAAAGCCTCAAATGGAGCCATCTCGATGCTGGATTGGTAACTGTTATTATAAGAAAACTCGGCCAAAGGCAAGAAACGATCCCGCTGGCCTCCAAAGTCAATCACACATGCCCTGAGCATATCCTCCAAAATCTGAATTGTCCGCTCTGACTGCCCGTCGGTCTGCGAATGAAAGGCTGTGCTGAGCTCTACACGGGTCCCCAATTCACTATGTACTGCTCCCAGAAATGTGAAGTAAACTGAGGGCCTCTATCTGATATGATAGAAATTGGCACATCGTGCAACCGAACTATCTTCTGAATATAAATCTGGGACAACCTCTCTGAAGTATATGTAGTCACAACCGGAATAAAGTGTGCCAACTTGGTCAACCTGTCAGCAATGACCCAAACTGCATCAAACTTTAGCAAGATCCGCGGCAACCCAACTACAAAGTTCATAGTGATACATTCCCATTTCCACTCCGGTATAGTCATCTGCTGAAGTAGGCCACCTAGCCTCTGGTGCTCATATTTAACTTGCTGGCAATTTAGACACCTAGCTACATACTCAACTATGTCTCTTTTAATTCGTCTCCACCAATAATGCTGCCTCAAGTCGCGTTACATCTTCGTAGCACCTAGATGAATAGAATATCGAGAATTGTGTGTCTCCTCTAGGATCTTTTTCCTCAGTCCATCCACATTAGGAACACATAGATGATCCTGGAGTCGCAGAACACCATCCGCTCCAATAGTAACTTCCTTGGCACCACCCCGTAGTACCGTTTCTCGAAGAACCTTTAAGTGTGGATCATCATATTTGCGAGCCTTGATCTGTTCAAATAGTGAAGACTGAGCTACAACACATGCAAGAACTCGGTTGGGCTTTGGAATATCCAGCCGCACAAGTCTGTTGGCTAAGGGCTGGATATCCAAAGTTAATGGCCTCTCCTCTGCTGAAATGAAAGTCAAACTACCCATACTCTCTGCCTTTCTACTCAAGGCATCTGCAACCACATTTGCTTTGCCCGGATAATATAGGATAGTAATATCATAATCTTTCAGTAACTCCAGCCATCTGCGTTGCTTCAAATTTAGGTCCCTCTGCTTGAACAAATGATGCAAACTGCGATGATCAATGTAAACTTCACAAGACACCCCATAAAGATAATGCCTCCAAATCTTAAGAGCGTGAACAATCGCAGCTAACTTAAAATCATGCACCAGATAATTCTTCTTGTGGGACTTTAGCTGATATGAAGCATATGCAATAACTCACCCTTTTTGCATTAATACACAACCCAAGCCAACACGTGAAGCGTCACAATACACTGTATACATTCCCGAACCGAAAGGTAAAACTAACACTGGTGCTGTAGTCAATGCTGTTTTGAGCTTCTAAAAGCTCACCTCACAATCATCGGACCATCGAAACGTAGCACCCTTCTGGGTTAATTTGGTCAAAGGTGCTGCAATAGATGCAAAATCTTCCACGAACCGACGATAATAACCTGCTAAACCTAGGAAACTCCTGATCTCAGTCGTCGAAGTGGGATGATGCCAATTCTGAACTGCCTACAATCTTTTTGGGGTCAACCTTAATACCCTCGCCCGATACAATATGCCCCAAAAATGCTACAGACTCTAGACAGAACTCACATTTGGAGAACTTAGCGTATAACTTTTGTTCTCGTAGCGTCTAAAGCACCACTCTCATATGCTGCTCGTGCTCCTCCTTACTGCGCGAGTAGATCAAGATATCATCAATGAAGCCAATGACAAACGAATCAATGTATGGCCTAAATACCCTATTCACCAAATCTATAAACGCTGCTGGGGCATTAGATAAACCAAAGGACATCACCAGAAACTCATAATGACCATATCTAGTCCGGAAAGCAGTCTTCGGAGCATCCGAATCTCAAATCTTCAACTGATGGTACCCCGACCTCAAGTCGATCTTAGAGAACACCCTAGCACCCTGCAACTGGTCAAATAGATCATCAATACACGACAATGGGTACTTGTTCTTAATTGTGATTTTATTCAATTGACGATAATCAATACACATTCGCGTTGTTCCATCCCTCTTCTTCACAAATAATATCGGTGCACCCCAAGGCGATACACTTGGTCTGACGAACCTTTTGGCTAGTAACTCCTCAAGCTGTTCTTTCAATTCTTTCAATTCTTTCGGAGCCATGCGATTCGGTGGGATAGATATATTCTGGGTATCTGGAGCCAAATCAATATAAAATCAATATCACGATCAGGTGGCATACCTGGAAGATCTGAAGGAAATACATCAGAGAACTCCCGAACTACAGGTACTGAATCAATAGTCGAAGTCTCTGCAGTAGTATCCTGCACATAGGCTAGATAATCTAAACAACCCTTCTCAACCATGTGTTGAGCCTTCATAAAAGAAATAACCCGATTAAACGCACTAACAGACGAACCCTTTCACTCCAGCCTAGGCAATGCTGGAATAGCCAAAGTAACAGTCTTGGCATGACAATCTAGAATATCATGATATGGAGATAACCAGTCTAGTTTCAAAATCGGTCATCTAAAGCAATAGGAGATCTGCTCTAGTTTCATAACCACAGAATGTAATAATACATGACCAGTAGGTTCGATTCACAATAACAGAATCGCCCACATGAGTGGACACATAAACTGGAGTACTCAAGGACTCACGAGTAACACCCAGAAATTGAGCAAATAGAGAGGGCACATATAAATATATAGATCCAGGATCAAATAATACGAAAGCATCTTTGCCGCAAACAGAAATAATACCTGTAATCACGGCATCTGAGGCATCTGCATTCGGTCTGGCCGAAAAAGCATAGAACCAAGCTGGAGTGCTAACTGGCTGGCCTCCGCCTGGCTGACCTCCACCTCTAGGACGGCCCCAACCCACATGTACTCCACCTCTTTGTGGTCGGACTACTGGGGGAGAAACTGGTGCGGTAATCATAGGCTGCTGACCCTGCTGCACTGGTCTACCCCGAAGCCTGGGGCAAAATCTCTGTATATGATTGGGATTCCCTCACTCGTAATAACTCTTCGGCACAATGGGCTGCTGACTAAGAATCTGGCCCTGGTGACCTAAATACCCACTGGAAGAACCTAGAATAGATGGCGAGCGATAAGAACTCTCTGGTATAGCACTAAAATAAAGTCGCACTGGAGGACCCAGAGGAGGCGGTGGTGATGGATATGGGGACCTACTGGACTGCCCTCTCACAAATTGACCTCTGCCCCAAAATGGAGCACCTCTAAACTCTCTAGAATACCTAAACCGCTTATCTCTAGTAACCTGCTCTCGGCTACACTGACGCACACACTCAATCCTCCGGGCTATCTCCACGACTAGCTTATAAGAAGTACCCATCTTAACCTCTCGAGCCATAGTGGCCTGAATGCTAGTATGTAAACCCGCAACAAACCTCCGTACTCTCTCCGCCTCAGTAGGGAGTATCATAAGTGCATGGCGAGATAACTCAGAGAACCTCGTCTCATAATCGGTCGCTGACATCTGACCATGCTGAAGTTGCTCAAACTGAAATCGTAATTCTTCCCTCTGGGAGGGTGGAATATACCTATCCAGGAAGATACATGTGAACATATCCCAAGTCATGGGAGCAGAATCTGCTGGTCTACAAAGAAGATAAGACTTCCACCATCTACGGGCTCTGCTCTCTAGCTGAAAGGTAGCAAAGTCAACCTCATGTGACTCCAATATCCTCATATTGTACAGTCTATCCCTGCACCGATCAATGAAATCTTGGGGATCCTCATTTCTCTCACCCCCAAACACAGGAGGATGTAGTATAGTCCATCGGTCCAATAGTTTCTGCGGATCAGCGGCTGCAACTGACCTGGGCTCAGGTATAGCTGCTGCCACTGGCTGGGCTCCACCTACGGGTAGTGCACCTTGGGTCTGATATATAGCAGCTGCCTGCCCATGAGCCTGTGCGGTCGGATTCTGTGCTCCCCCGCCCACCTAAGATGTGGATGGGTCAGTCGGAAATAAACCGGCCCGAGTCATAGTGTCCATGAATCGCAGCATATGACCCATGACATCTTGGAATCCCGGTGCAGATGTGAAATCCACTTGAGCTGGCTCTGCCACAGACACCTCACCTTGTTCCTCAGTAATGAGATTCTCTGTAGGACCCACTGGCGGCATAACTGGAACAGGCCTGGGACGTCCTCGCCCCCTACCACGAGCTGGAGCCCTCCCTCGGCCTCTAGCAACTGGGGGAGTAGCTCTTCCCTGGTCTGGAACCTCATTAGAGTGCGTTCTCTCCATCTGCGAGAGAATAAGAGAAAGATATTTAATACTACATCAATTGCACTATGGAATATGAAGAAAGGTAGTTTCCTAACACCCTATAGCCTCTCGAAGATAAGTATAGACGTCTCTGTACCGATCCGCAAGACTCTATTAGGTCTGCTCATAACTTGTGAGACCTACGTGAACCTAGTGCTCTGATACCATGTTGTCACGACCCAATTTCACCTAAAGGTCGTGATGGCTCCCAACACTACAGTTAGGCAAGCCAACTAATAAGTTAATCATATATCAATTATTTTCAGAATAATTTTCTAAGTAATTTGATTATATTTCTAGCAATATTAAAGAAAATAAAATAAAAATCGATTAATTTAAATTCAAGAAATAATACAAATCCAAATTCTACTAGTGTATGTGCCAAGATCTGGTGTCACAAGTGTATGAGCATCTAGTAGATTATACAAAAATTATAAATACTGTCTGGAATGAAATAGACAGAATAAAAGTTCAGAAAAAAGCACTAGTTGCTGCAAAACGGCTAGAAAGCAGCTCGCCACTAAGCCTCCGGATAACGCGGGTGTGCGCCAATAGGTCCAACGATAGCACTTGTCTCAGGTCCTGCACAAAAAGTGCAGCAAGTATAGCATGAGTACGTAAACAACGTGTACCAAGTAAGTATCAAGCCTAATCTCGAAAAGGTAGAGACGAGATGGCCGACTTTGACACTCACTATGGGTCAATAATAATAATTGAATAAAACTAGAATATCTAAATCAACATGATTCACAGAGTTAACAATAACTTATTTAACTAGCAGAAATAATTGAATTCCTTCAAATGCAATAATTTCCAAACTATTAATTAAATTCACAAAATGTAATTGAAATGCCAAGGTATTGTATAATTATTATTAGGCACGATTTCTGCCGAGGTCGTACGGCCCGATCCAGAGTGTCGTGTACACTGTCGAGGGACGTGCGGCGTGATCCATAGATGCATCTATCCCGCCGAGGCGTTCGGCCCGCTCCACAAGAAAGANATATATCAATTAATTTTAATTAAACAAAGAATAGAATTTTCACAAGTAATTTATGATTTGAATCCTAAACTACTCGAACTTTTTGCATAAATAGTAGCTACGCACGGACTCTCGTCACCTCGTGCGTACGTAGCCCCCAACTCTGTCTGGCTCGAATCTAGCCAAAATAAATCGATAAAATCACTAAATATTATAGGAATCGATTTCATAAGAAAATACTACATTTTTCAATAAAAATCCGAACACGCTCCTAAGTCCAAAATCACCATACGGAGCTATTGGAACCGTCAAATCCCGATTCCAGGGTCGTTTTCTCAAAATGTTGATCGAAATCAAACTTAACATTTTAAGGCCAACTTAAGAAACTAAGTGTTCCGATTTCAACCCGAACACTTTCAAATCCCGAACCAACCATCCCCGTAAGTCATAAATTAATAAAAGCACATACAGAGAGTTTTATTTAGGGGAACGGGGTTTTAAAAGTCAAAATGACCGATTGGGTCATTACATTTTTAATCTTCGAAATGCCATTATTAAGTATACAAAAAGTGATGATGTTATTTTGATTGATAAGACGGGAAGGATAAAAAGTAAGCTTGAGAAATATTGGGGTAAGTTTGAGGATATGAATATGTTGTTACTTGTTGCTGTTGTGTTGGATCCTAGATACAAGATTAAGTATGTTAGCTTCATTCTTACCGATACATATGGTTCTTTGTTGGGAAGATTGAAGTCTGAATATGTCCTAAGTGTTTTGACTCACTTATATAATAACTATTACGATTCTTTCTCTGAGGCTTCTTATGACAATATTGGAGGTTATATTAGTATGAGTGAAGCTGGTGATCTGTTGTAATCTAAGTGGGAGAAGCTTTTGGAAGATGAGGGAGATATTAAAAAAGAAGTCTGATCTTGAGATATACTTGATGGATGACGTGGTGAAGACCAAGAATTTTAATATCTTGGCATGGTGGAAAACGTCATCTAGTAAATATCCAATAGTTTCAAAGATTGCAAGGGATGTTCTTTCTATTCCTATTTCTACTGTTGCATCTGAGTCGGCTTTTAGTACAGGTGGTCGAGTTCTTGATTCTTATCGGAGTTCTTTATCACCAAAAACAGTAAAAACTCTTATTTGTACTCAACAATGGATACGGTCACCTTCCAAGGAATATAAATTTGAAGACATTTTGGAGGAAGTCCAGAAAATTGAGCAAGTTGAAGAAGGTAATAATTTATCTTCGATTCATAATGAATATAGTTATTTTTGTGTATTACTTAATATTAAATATATTAATTATTTTTTTTATTTCAGAATATCCAGACTTGCCTTTGGGGATTGATTAGAGAGGTAGTTAACTATAATTTTCTCCCGGACTACTTTTGAAATCTTGACTACTTAAAGGTAATTAAAAGAGCATCTATTAGTTTCTTTACTTTTGTCTATAACCTTTCTGTTGAGCCTAAAATATTTGATTATTTACTAATATTTAAGGTATTACAAATGATTATCCCAAGGAAAAGGATGGAACTGTAATGAATCTCCCTAAGATTGGAATTTGGGTCATTGTGCCTTTACTAACATTCTGGAACATGCTCCTCTGGATTAAGATGCCCAACTTTTTAAAGTTTAATATATTCTCTTTTTGTTTATTTTCTATGACTCTTGGCGGTAGTGTCTACTATTAAAATGTTGGTGATAATTCATATGTAGAGTGCAATATAATTTGCAGTTTATCTTTTTGGTAGTCTATTGACTCTTAGATGTAATTCTATGACTCTTAGTTGTAACTATTGTTGGGCTTAGGCCTTTTTGAAAGATTTCATTAGAGATAGAAGAATACGATGATAATTGGTATCAAAGATTAAAGGAAGGTTATGTCAAGAAAATGATTTCAGGTAAAGTTTATCATTGTCCATTCTATACCGGAAGAAAAAGAAGCAAGCCTACAACATTAAAAATCTTGTGCAACATTCTTCAGGAGTGAGCAAAGGCTCAAAAGAAAGGTACTAAAGAAATATTTTGGAGTATAAGTTTATAAAAAAAAACCAAAAAATCCGAGAAACTCGAGATTAAAAAACCCGATTTTTGTTGGTTTGGTTTGATCTATAGATTTAAAAACTCGATATAGTTGATTTGATTTGATTTTGATAAAAAACGAACCAACCTGGTCTATATACACCCCTGGAGAGGAGAGGTGGAAGAAAGGGCTCGTACTTTATAGTAATGGATATAGACCCTTTTCTAATTTAAAGAGCTATCCTTTGTTGTATTCCAATTTGCACCACTTTCCTTAGTCTTTAGGCTTTCATTCCATTAGAAAGTTTACTTTTTCCAATTCCAGATTTTCTCATAATGGGTGCCGAGGGTTTTTCGGAGCCGAGGGTATTTCGGAAATTGCCTCTCTATCTCCGAAGTAGGGGTAATGTCTGCGTACACACTACCCTCTCAAGATCTCACACATGAGATATTACTGAGTTGTTGTTGTTATTGTTGGGAATACAAGGTCAATGGAAGAAATCATGGTAAATGTTATATCAGAACTTTTCACAAAGAGCAGTAAAGGAAAAACATTGAAGTTGTAGTTTTAACAGGTAAGTACCTTTTGTTTTTCTTTTTTACTTTCATATGAGTATTCACCAAATTGTATTGTTTATGCAAGTTTTAGTTAAGTAACACTCCCTATACTCTTTTGATATGAAATAGTGCCTTATTATTTTTTTTCTTCAATAATCACCAATCGGTGAATCAATGTATATTATCCAGAAATCAATTGGTAAACTTTTGGTTTGAGCCTTTGAGGCAATTCAACAACATTATGAATGAATGTATATTGTTCAAAGGCCACAAAGTAGCCACATTCTTCAGTGCCTAAATAGAAATATTTGCATCATATCATCCACTAATTGTTGGCAAATTCAGTTTACAATCGAGCCATGCATATATCTAACTTAGAAGATTAACCAGTAATATAGAAAAGAATAAATTAAATAAAAAGAAAACTCTCATATTCATAAAATGAAATCTAAAATTTGAGCAGAAACTGATACAACATGTGCAAGGATGGCCCAGTTTCAAACTTACAAGATTACACAAAAAAATAATTTCGACAAATAAAAAAGAAAGACCAAATTTTCAGTTCATGTATGTTGTATTGAGTTTTATCATCACCACATTATAACAAAGTAAATACAACTACACATAATGGTAAATCAAAAATAAATTTTAACCAACTATGAAAATGTAATACTGAATTTGTTGACCGTATACAAATACAAACTATAATCGTGACCGAAGTAGAAGATAACTACTAATGAAATATTTTTTTCTCTCATATTTCTACTTCATCACTAGAAAATAAAGTATATCCTTTCATCAGTTTGAGTTTTCATTTTCCCCTTCAATTTTCATGTTATTCATTATACTCGTGTTTTAATATTATCTATACCGTTTAAAAGCGTTTGTACGTATTAGTATAAGACAGTGGCGGATGCACATGAGCACTTGTGGATGCTTAAGCACCCATTAACTTTGACCATATTTAGTAAATTACATAGACAATTGTACAAATATTTAGATAAATATTGAGTTAGCACCCATAAATATATTCATTTTTCCTCTTTTTTTGGAGTCTTTATCGGCGAGCATCCATAACTTTAAAATCCTAGATCCGCCACTAATATGAGATACACGTGCAACACAAGACCTTGAACTATTAATAGCAGTACACTCATCTACCCATTGTGTATGGGTCATCAAACCACGGTTCATGCCGTTTGCATATTCAACCAATGACTTAATGTAAATACGAGCTTCTGGTCAAGTCAAACGATATACGATTGAGAGTCTAACAAACTACCAGCTACGTACTTTGAGATTCTTTCAACCACATCATGTAAGTAACATTTCTATAATTATTCTCTTTAAAATATACCAAATAACCAAAAAGCAAAATACAACACATAACTTAAGTGGAATAACTTTTTTGCCTGGTTATTTTCACCTTCCTCCTGGTAGCCCATAATTTCGCACTAAGCAGACATAGGAAATAATGGAAGTAGAGAGTGATCATGGTTCAGTTTAGGAGTTTTTCCCTTAAAAAAATCTAACCAATTAACTCATTTTTTTAAATATTGAAATCAAACCAAACCAATTAAGTCGATTTTTTAATCGATTATATGTATATCAATTTTTATCTATTTATTATTATTATTTTTTAAAATATAAGACATACACGACCAAATACATATTCCAATAATTACATTCGAATATAACACTATCAAAATAATTATTCTTTGAGAAAATCGGCCATTTACCATGATATATCAGATAATTAAATTATATAGTGATGAATAATTTAAGAACTTAATTAAAGTTAATTAATTTTTAACATGAAATAAATTCTTGGACTTAGCAAAATAAAACTACCAATCAAATTAGAATGTAAAGACAAAGAACTAGATTATTATAATGAACTGGAACCAGACTACCAACTAAGAGTGCAAACCATTAATATATACCATAAATTAAATTTTTTATACAAAATGTATGTATATAATACATATGTGTGTAATAATAAGTTTTAAATGAGTATTTTATAGTTGGTTCAGTTCGATTTTTTCGATTATATTTTGCTTAAACTAACCAAATCAAATTTAGTTAGTTTTCAAAAATCAAAATCAAAATAAAATCAAACCAAAAAGTTGTTAGCTATTTTTATCATTTTGATTCGGTTTTCGATTCGGTTCGAGTTTTTGTTTTTTCCGGAGCACCACTATATGGAAGTGTGCAAAAGATGCAAGACTAAAGTATAATTATGAAGAGGTGGGAGGAATTAGTGCAAATATGGAAGTTACAGGGGCAGTACAGACTGTACAGTGTACAGCGGTAGTACTCAGTAGTAAGAAAACAGGTGGCACTATTGTGAGAGCCGGCTTTATTATTGACTTATATAACAGCAACAAAGAGGGAAGACGACGAAGAATCTTCCATTTAATACGGTACGAACGATGTGTGAAAATAATTTGTCGTTGTAAAAGGATCCTTTCAGTAAATGTAATTAAATTTCATTGGTCAAAACTTTTTCTTTAATTAGTCACAAAAAAAAGAGATTCTCTTTTACTTTAATTTGCTGAATATTAAGTTCACGGTAAATAATTTACTTTATTTATTTGAAGCAAATTAAAGAAAATATCCATCTCTACTTTTTGATATCATTTTATGTAATACTACAAAATCAAATAATTTTATTAACTAAAACCTTTTAAAATAAGTTTTAAAAATATTTTAAATATAAAAGACTGTAATTTATAGCATCTTAATTAATGTATCTTTTAAGTACGATGAAGGAGCAAAGAGTGAACATATTTTGTGGGCTTTTTTCATTTTTAGTCCATGGCAGAAACTAATTATATTCAGTAGCCGAAAACATGTATAAAATTTGTATAATTTTAGTATATAACATACATAATGTATATATATATAAAAAATATATATTTTTACGGTTATTATTTTAAAAGCGGATATATTGTGTCATTTTTTCATATTTTATTTTATTTACACATATGAACACACACATATGCTAGAAAAGAAAATGTTACGGTCTAGAGACTTTTGTTCGACTTAACATACCTAATTATTTATCATTAGATGGACGAGCTTAGTGGGAAAACATGCTGTATATATGTGTATCTTTTATCTTTACGCAACAGACGACCAAAATGATTATAATATATAGATATTAATTAACTTTACACGTATATATGGTTATTTCGTTATCCATTGATTATGATATATAGATATTTCCTTAAGCTTTTCTAAAAGTGATCATAGTCATTTTCTAAATGAATCATAGACCAATTATGAGAATTCGGAAACCTTGTATCAACATCAACTTCTGAATGTTCAAAGATTGACATGAACTTCAACCAGCTGGCATGCTTCCTATATGATATCGTTGCAGTAAAATAAGAAAAGTCTTGTTATTAATTGCCGTTTGTAATTAAAAAAAAAGAGAAGAAGAATAAAAAGAAACCTTAATAGTTCTAATGTCTGACGGTACTCTTTAGGGATGGCCATGGCGCGGGTGCGAATGCGGATGCGGATGCGGATGCGGATGCGGTGCGGGTCTAAGTCTGCGGGCGGTTGCGGGAAAATAATTGCGGGGCAAGTGCGGTGTGGATTAAAATAAATTATTTAAAATTTTAACGGGTGCGGGGTGGTTGCGGGCTTTACTTTTTTGTACCAGCTCCATTTCTTTTAAATGCACTAACTTTGAGGTTTCACTCGACCACTTTCGTTCGACTCTGTCTTTCCACTCTCGTTATCTCAATTTAGCTTTGTTTTTTACTGGTTTTGGCCATTTCAACTTATAATTTTCATATATAATTAATGTTACTCTGTTTCAGTTATTTGTTGTAAGTATTTATTTGATTAATACTTATCCAATATCAGGAAAACGAATCTGCACAAGTACCCACACCAACTTGGAGAAGCTAAAGTAATTAATTTACTCAATGACAATTTGAGTTGCATTGCTAACAGAGTTGATTAATTTTGTAAAAATAAATTCCTTCCTCAGCAAACTATACTTATGGATTATTTGTAAGGTAGTTAATATTCAAAATCTCGAAGTAAAATCGATCACATCTCTAACTCATTTTACACGACTTGGTTCCTTCAGTGAAGACAGAGTACTCTGATCATAGATAATTGCAATCGTTATTATATAAACTTGATAGTAGGCTATATTCATACAATTTAGACACTACTTACACTCTAATTTAGCCGCACTTTATTGATATTTAAATGCTAAAAGATAACAAAATGCTCTAATAAAGAGTTTGATGCTTTGCAGGAGCTACTCCGAGCTAGGAGGGAGCTAATGAGTGTTTTGGAGTCAACATGGAATGTGAAAGGGCAATCGAAGGTTAGCCCGGTCGAAAAGGAGCGAGAAAAGCAAGCGAAACAAACCCTCCAGATACGCGGCCGTGGAGTGGGCCGAGAACTGGTCCACGAACTCAAGGCAGTGAGGCAGTCCAAATCCGCGGCCGGATCCGCAGTCGAATCCGCGGCCGCGGACGGGCGGACGAAAGCCAAACACGCAGGGTTAATTATGTAATTTTCTAGACGACTAACCTAAATCTATATGAAACCTAAACTCGCCCAGAAGTGGGAGATAGCTGTTTTTAGAAGATTTTAGAGGCAAGAACGAGGGGGAGAAGACGGATAAATTCTTAAGAGTTTTCATCATCTTCTTGATACTTCTATTTGTTGATTATGAATTATTTTAGTGATTTGTTTTCCATTAGCATGAGTAGCTAAATCTGTTATCTAGGGTTGATGGAACCAATTGTTGGATGAAGTCTTGACTCTATTTTGTTATAATTGAGCCGTATTTGTTCTATAATTGTTCAATTACGTATTGTATTGTGGTTAATTGAAAGGGCCTTCGATTAATCGTGTCTATTCACCTTGTATTGCTTGAGAAAGAACAGTTGGTTAGATTGTTATTGAACAACACCACTTTAGGGGAAGTTAAGAGATTAATTACTTGAATTTAAAAGTAGGGTTAGAAATAACGAAATTTTGGTGGGATGATTCTGAGTTGCATAAATTATTAACTAGAGTAGTTCGAGAGAATGCTTCTAGTAAATTATCGTAATTGATCGAAAGGTAATTACGGTAGCCCGGAACTCATAATC